GAAGAAGAAGAAGAAGAAGTAGAAGAAGTAGAAGATGAAGAAGAAGGAGAAAAACTGATATATTTTGATGTATTTTGATATATTTTGATATATTGTGGTATATTTTGATATATTTGGATATATTCTTGATATTGCATTGTTGGTAATGAGAAGAAAAATATATTAATTACGGAATAATTTGTCGTCCTGTTGACGCCCTGATGTCTCTCATTAGCTTTTAATTGCTAATTAGAAATCAAAATATAAATTGTTTATATAATTTTGGGGAAAAATGAATATAAAACTCTTAACTTTGGTGATTTTTCTAAAGACAACTGAAGATCTCGAGGTACTTTATCCTCTACCAACTTCAGCTCAAAATCTTCTTTGCTGTTTGAGATGAATGTTTCATTATCGTCTCGAAACGAAACGAACTCAACTAATTTTGAAAAGTATGTGTATGTAACATTAGACAAACGCGTTGAGGATTTCTTAATATCCTTTCTAAGTATTTTAGTGACCTATATCATCTCGGCCAATGGACTGATACTTTACTTTATAACGAAAATCCAATCCGAAAAAAAGAGGACAGCAAACACAAGGGGTTTTCAACGGAATGTGACAAACATATTCATTCAAAGTCTGGCAGTTTCCAACTTTTTAGGAGGACTGGTTAACTTCGTCGCACTGGTCGGACCATTTTCAAGTCATTTGATAAGTCAAAGCGTAATAATTTGCAAAGCAGCGAAATTTGCTATTTATTTCTTTGCCGTTCTGAATTTCTACAATCTTTTTGTCATTGGAGTTGAGAGATATTTAGCAACATTGCATCCATTTAAGGTTCCATCTGATCGTGCTGTAAAAGGACTCTTAATAGGTTCGTGGGTTTTGCCAGGATGTGTTGCGCTGATTCCTACAGGAACGTTAAATATATTTCGCGTAGAAGACGAAAAAACACTCAGTTATACTTTACAATGTTTGTACGATAACTCCAAGAATCAGCACAGAGCTATGTTCGTACTCTTTATTGCCTTGAACTTCGTTTTACCAGCGATAATCTCAACTGTTCTCAACATCAAAGTCCTGAAATATATCAAAAACAGGGCGCCCCAAAATTGGAGTGCAAACTTGGAGCGAAATAAGAAAACAAACGCTTTCAYAACTTTGATATTTTCATACATGATTCCTTACATGATTTTTATTGCTTACACAGCTGTGAAAAAAGGATTGTCGTTACAACACAGTATTCCTGTAGAAATCGTAGTGAGTCGATGTAACGCGTTCTTAGTGTTTGCAAATTCGGTGGTAAGTCCAACAGTACAGTTGTATAAAATGCCCAGGCTACGAAGAATGCTAGTGGGATTTATTTGCCAGAGGTTTCAGTTCCTACGAGTTCGTTTTAGGCCGAGTAACGTTATTGCAGTGTATGGTAAGGAAAGAGAGGTGTCCTTTAACACAAACATTATTTATTCGTCGCGGACAAATTCACAGCCATAGTTTCCATCATAGTTAATGGAGTGGAATGGTTTGGAAACTCCATAGGACAAAGCTATTGTTTTTGGCTCGAAACTCCGGCATTTTCGCTACTTACTATCTATTACTTAGTGAGTACGTTAGCCAATCAGAGCGCGAGATTCGCTACAGTTTGTTGATAAGTTTYTACTATTATTATTTGGTCTGACTTTTACAAGAATTTCAACAAAAGAAGACAAAAATAAAGTAATACTACAGTAGCCTGTTTAGAGTGGAATCCTCTATTACACAAATCACCACTACAACAAGTGACGTCACACTCGTGCGCAGACCCCAGGCTCTTACATTCAGGCCGCGTGGCCCTGGTACRGTGTTCTGACTCAGAGCAAGTCTTCATGTAGATTACATTATCGGCAGTTCTCTTGTTGTGACGCATTTTTAGGCACTTTGCACTCGATCCAGAGCAGTAAATTTCCTTTGTTTTGGAAGAACAATCTTCCCAAGACTTTTCGCTTGAGCAGGAGTAGCAACGAATACCTGAAACTGTGGTTAGAAACGTTTTAATTTGATGACATTGTGTTAAACAAGGTCATCATCATTATTATTATCATCACCATCATCACCACTGTCATCATCGTCATCAATGCCGTCATCACCATCATCACCACCACCATCATCATCATCATTATCATCATCGTCTTCATCATTATCATCATCATAACATTATCACCATCATCACCACCATCATCATCACCAACATCATGATCATCATCACCATGATTAATATCATCATGATCACCTATCTTTTATCACCATCATCATCATTAATACAAAAAATCTTACTCACCATTTTGCAGCATTGCCAAACCGATGAATACCAAGACAATAATTCTTAACTGTCGATTCATTATTACTGCCGGGTGATATTTGACATGTCAAGGAAACTTGAATTCCATGGCTATTGTGGTCCAAACACTAGCTGATATAAAATAAACAGCACGATTGAAATCGGGATGAATACTGCAGTTTCAAGTTGGAGGAACGTGTTACAAGTGGAATGTATTATGACAAGAACAAGAACAAGCAACACGAAGTTAAGAACAACACTTGAGGAAGAAGTTGAAGCTAGGTCGAATACTGATATTTCTGAAATAATAAATAATGATCAAGTAAATTAAGTAACGAATTCAAATCCATGGCACATTTTAGTGTCAAGAATATAGATAGGAAAGAAAGTAAAATCAGAGTTTCTCGCATAAAAATATATAAAGTCAGTATACAAAATCGAGCCATAAAGTTTGAAAGATTAACTAAAGTTTCCGGAACTTTAAAAGCTTTAAAAACTCGTCGTAACTTTTATAAGAGAAATTACAATACAAAGAATACAACAGAATAAGTGAAAACGTTTGGAATACTGTAAATTGACAGTGGAATATAAAGTTTTAACAGAAAAGTGAATGCAGAATAAGAATCTTACCTTCGAGTTGAYTTGTTTAGTAAAATGAAGTCCTTCGCTACTTTCAACACCATTTCATAGCGATTAAGCTGTCATCATGGCTTTGTGTTTCTAAGGTTAATTAACAAAGTGAATTGGAATCAAAGCCCTCAAATTAAAAAACCATTAACAGTTGTTCAGTGTTTGTTTAACGCGCTCCGTTGTTTATGCATGGAATTTTCGACAAATTGAACATAGATATGAAATAGAATCTATAACATGTTTTAGAATGTAAATCTGTATTTTAKATTAAATTTACCATCATATTGCCTCAAGATTAATTCTCTCTATGTTTCATCTGTATTTTAATATGTATATTTTAATATGTTCTTTGATAAGGGATTCTATCTTAGCTAAGTATACGCATTCACGGACTAAAATCTACACTTTTGAAGCTTGAAATTAAAGGTTTAAATCAATGAATAAGCAAAACAAAACTACCTAAGAATGAACGCATGCAAGCGAATTTAATTCACTGAATGTCCTAATGCCTTTTCAAAGCACAAGTACCAAGAGTACAAAAGATCTGACAAGCAACGGATTACAAACCCATTAACAATAAGACTTACTAATTACCTATACGAATTAGTGGGTTGGCGAGGCGTATGATCTCTTTTTTATACGGCGTTTGCGCATGCGTGCGTTCAACACGTTTTGGACGAATTCAAGAGTGTTCGAGTACGAAAGGAAATCCTCGTTTTCACCGACTACACAAAAATTTTGGACGCTGTAATTTCGTTAAACCAAAATAGTGTATCAGTAAAGACAATATGAACTGAAAAAGTCTAACGTTTCAAGGCCTCACAGTTCTGATGTTAAATTGTCAGTTATGGCTTTTCAAAACGCATCCCACATGGAAAGTAGAGGACATGCGAGCTTAGTCCTCGGTGATACAATCGCAAATCAGGGTTGCTGGTCATAGCAAGGGGTTAATCATCTACGGTGTA